TAAAGCAATAAGCCCCAAGAAGCCGTGGTTTACCGTGCATTTATAACAGCTAAGGGGCGTTGTTAGGCACAAGATGCTAACTGATGGACTAGATTGGTGTGGATTACTTGTGGATTATTGTGATGCAATAATCATCACAATAATCCTCAGAAACAGTTGTGGTTGCAATAAAGTGGTTGCCAAGCAACACACAACAAGTAAACAAAGGTGTATGTTTGTAGAGTAATTTACAACAGCTTAGAACGTGGCTCAACCAATCGGAATCAAGGACCGGAACTATCCGTTTTATAAATGTCCATTAAAGATGGCTAGTGCGATGGGATTTCACTTTTTGGCTGTTGGTCAGTTGGCCACGTCACCTCGTCAGTACAATTACAGATGAAATGCATTTAATACAGTATTCACATAATTTTGCTCATATTTAGTTATTCATGCTAAGTATGAGACACAGCTGTAGTCGGCTAAGTGTCTCATGGAACAAATCTACTGTAGTGCTGTAATGGGATCTGAAGCAAAACCAAAGGCCAGAAACTGGTTCAGACGTCGCTGAATATTTTTGGTCTAAGTATGAGTCCCGTCTCAACCTGCAGAACCAGAATCCTGTTCCCCAAGTAGAACACATCCGCTGAGTTACCATGGACACAATTTGGGTTCTCATCCTGTATTTTGATTGTGCAAAAGTAACTACGGGTGATTCACCGACTAGCGACCATTGCCATGGAGACTGGCTTCTCTCTCATATTATCTTGGAATTTTTTAGAGCGATCCCTTCAAGTTCAGTCTGAAAGAGAGATGGAAACAAAGAATAATTCTAAATTATTCTAAATTCTCTCATAGAGTAATCCACAGAAGCTCATTTGAGGCTTGTAAACACATTTATCTAAACTGTCTGCACAACAGAAATGTGTATGTGCTCAGCATTCAGTGGTAACTCTGTGAGTTTTATTTTGATTTATGCACTGTCATTTCTGATCAGTAATGATTTGCTGTTGCTAATGATCTAGACTGCTGGTCTAGAACTAGCCATCTCGACTTGCCGGGCAAAGACTTGTATTTTTCATGCTGATCTTGGACCAGTTATTCATTGAGCTCAGGCTGGTACATTGGCGTGAGCCAGCACACTGACTCATTGGGTATTCTGCCAGGGCACTGGGACGGCAATGTGTGCTCTGATCTGTACTTAAACACCAAACACCCTCTCTTTTCTTCACTCTCTCTTTCACGTCCCAAATGTCTCAATTTCCTTGATGTTACAGATAACTAACAGTTATCCTGTTCTATGCATATATATGTTATGTATGCCATGTATATTATACAGCATTCAGCATGATGCCATAATTAGCACTATTTATAGTACTTGTGTATACTATGTGTAATGAGTATATTCTGTATTATGTATAATACATCTAAAATTACTATAAATTATTGAAAATGTTTTTTAGGGTTGGTATCTTAAAAAGTATGAATTACCTTATCATTTACAGAGAAACAAAATGTATATTGAATGAATATTTCACCCAAAAATGAATTATTTTTCATCATTTACTCACCATTATGTCATTCCAAACCTGTATGACTTTCTTCTTCTGCATAAGACGAAAGAAGATATTTTGAAAAATGTTGATAACTAAAAAGTTTGGGTTAATTAGGAACCAAAACTATTTGGTTACATCACAAATTAAAGCATCTTAACAAAATATCTTAATTTATGTTACACATAAAAACAGAAAGTCAAACGGGTTTGAAAAAACCTGATGAGAGTTTTAATTTTTGGGTAAATTATCCTTAAATGAGACAATCCATGTGGGACTATTAATTTATTTAAAAAACCATTACATGTACTTGGATTATATTTAATGTTTTGTACACTGGTGTAATGTGTTTTCTTTTGTTCTGTTAATGTTTACTGCATTCTTTCAATGTCCTGTGTGTTACCCTGTCGGTATTTTGTGTATGTAAGGTAACACTCTGCTGTCTTAAGTTGCTAAAGAGGTCAAGGGTGAGGTTAATGATGAAATTAAGTCATTGTGAGTTATTTTTCCACCATTTTTACTATCTATACATTTTCCATTATCGGTTTAAAGGGGCTTTAAATTAGGGCTTTAATGACATATTATGTGCAAGTTCTGGCAACCACATCTGCAAGTTACTGTATAATTCTATTCTTCACCTCAAGTCCCATTTGATTGCTTGTGTATGTTCAACTGATAAGTGAAAGCCTACGTTTACAGGTTGCACAACAACAGTGACTCAGTATGGATCAGCTGTGTGATTTCTGCTTCTGGACTACAGCTGACTGTCCTCGACTGCCGGAGGGTTTTTCATTGACCAAGCACCGCTGAGTGAACCGTCGGCAGATGGCAATCACTGTCTGACATGACCTAGTTACAGTCCACAGCAGCACGATCCAATTAAACCCCCTCCCGCCCGCTGATCTGTGTACAGTTTGAAAGAAAATCTTTCCGCTTCAAAGAATTACGTTTCTTAGTCTTTACGCGTGCAAACAATTGGAATTTTAATGGTTTAAAAAACGATTTCCTAGGGTAAAATGAATGGGGGTCAGGGTACGAATTATGCAGTGAATTTCTGGCTGTCAAGTTCTTCAAAGTAAGTTCTATGAGGGGACGCATATTTTGTGATGAAATGAAATGCTGAATGATGACAGATTTTAAAGGGGTGGTTGATTGCAATTTCACTTTTTTAACGTTAGTTTGTGTGTAATGTTGCTGTTTGAGCATAAACAATATCTGCAAAGTTAAGAAGTTGAAAGTTCAATGCAAAGGGACCATTGTTTACAATACAACCGGAGCTCATGCCGCTGAGGTGAGAGGCAGGACCTTTAGACGCACACCAGAAGCGGTTTAGCCAATCACAACACACTACACTAGCTAACCAATCAGAGTCCATCGCGTATTTCTGAGGGAGGGGCTTCATAAAAGCAGGAAATGATCAGCCCGTTTATCAGAGAAGGGACAGAGCGATGAAGAATAAAGGTAAATTAAGTGAAAAATAATGCGTTTTTAAAAAA